ACACTATTTTTTTTTTTTTTTTTTTTTTTTTTTTTGAGACAGAGTCTCACTCTGTGGCCAGGCTGGAGTGCAGTGGCACGATCTTTGCTCACTGCAACCTCCACCTCCCAGGTTCAAGCAATTTTCCTGCCTCAGCCTCTTGAGTAGCTGGGATTACAGGCGCCCACTACCACACCCAGCCAATTTTAGAGACCGAGTTTCACTGTGTTGGCCAGGTTGGTCTGTAACTCCTGACCTTATGATCCGCCTGCCTCAGCCTCCCAAAGTACTGGGGTTACAGGCATGAGCCACCATGCCCACGCCCACTCTTTTTTTTTCTAACAACTCTTAGCATACCCCACCGTTCACCATGTGAATTGTTAAATAAACAATATTTACCACTTTGGGCCTCTTTCTGATTCAGCAGTCTAAATGTGTACAATTCAGTGGCTTTTCGTATACTCACAGAGGTGTCACCACAATAAATTTTAGTACATTTTCCTTAATCCAAGAAGAAACCCTGCACGCCTGAGCTGAAACTGCCCCCAAAGTCCCCCAGCCCCTAAACAGCGACTAATGAAGGGCATTATTATCTGCTGCATACCATTGTGGCAGCTTTACAGTGGGGACATTAAGATTAAGTCAGAAAGAGTCCCAAAGTGATAAATATTGTTTAGCTACTCTTCGTTTTTTTCTTTTTTTTTTTCTTACCACTAAAATAAGATTAGTCCCCAGAGCAGATGAAGGGTATTGCTGGAGACATTTAGATTGTGATTCACTGTGCAGATTGCTATTGTGAGAAACTGCAAAAATTGCATTTTGTTGCTGTTTGCTGTTTAGCCAGTAAGCCTCTAGGCAGCTGTAAAGCTACCCATCTTTGCTGCTTTATAACCAAAGCAATATCCACAGTATATAAAAGAAAAGGGTTGTGGGCGGAGCGAAATTAAAAAAAATATATATATATCTATATATAAAGGAAAAGATGTTAAGAGCAAAGCATGTAAATATATATGTGTCTCTCATCAGATGTTTTCTCAGCCTCACCATGTGCTGTGGGAACCAAGAGATGGGGGAGTCTTTTTTTTTAAATTTTTTTTTTTAAGATGGGGTTTCACCATGTTGGTCAGGCGGTTCTTAAACTCCCGACCTCAGGTGATCCACCCGCCTTGGCCTCCAAAGTGCTTAGATAACAGGCATGAGCCACCATGCCCAGCCTAAGATGGGGGAGTCTTTAAAAAGCCTGTCTCTGCTGAGATAAGGGGAGGGATTACTATGAATGGTAGTCATGGTACGAGTAACTCACTTTTGACCACTTGCTTTGTGCCTAGTCCAATTGCTTTACATGTTTCAAGTCATTGATTCTTCACAACAACCCTTTTGAGGTAGGTGCCATCATTCCTACTTTGCAGATAAGGAGACAGGCCCAGAGAGGTTCAGGAACTTGCATCATGTTAGCTGATAAAGGATAGAAATAAAGGATAAAGGATAGATAAAGGATAGCTGATAAAGGATAGAAATGGACTTTGAACTTGGACACTCAAGTCTCAGTCTGGGCTATACTGGAAGCAGGTTAAGGGTTTCAGGAGATAGAGGCCCAATGTCAGTTGTCCGGCATGGTCTGTCCCCTGCTTCCTGCTCCAGCCTTCTGGTCACTCAGGGTCTGGGTACTTGCAGTGTCCACTACCTAGAGTGCGTTCCCACAGCCCCACCCACTGGCTACTCTGTCTCGTGATCATTTGTAAAGATGGAAAGGTGTAATTGACTTATGTAATTGACTTAGTTATTTGCTTGTTTGTTGTGCATCTCCCCCACTATCATGTAAGGTTTTAAGAAACAAGACCCGTCAGCATGTCCAACTGCTGATAGCCGGTGTCCTAGAGCAGCTGCTTAGAACATAGCTGCTTGAATGAGTGAAGGAGGCTGAGCTGCATCTGCCTACAGGGCAGGGAGCGTTTGAGCTGTCCGGGAAGGGTAGAAGGGATTTCAGCAGGAAGAGCTGGTAGAATGGAGAGCATATCCTGGAAAGAGGAAGGGAAGTCCATTCTCATGCTGCTAATAAAGACATACCCAAGACTGGGTAATTTGTAAAGGAAAAATTTTTAATGGACTCACAGTTCCATGTGGCTGGGGAGGACTCACAATCATGACGAAAGACGAAGGAAGACCAAAGGGATGTCTTACATGGCAGCAGGCAAGAGAGCATGTGCAGGGGAACTGCCCTTTATAAAACCATCAGATCTTGTGAGACCTATTCAGTAGCATGAGAACAGCATGGGAAAGACCAGCCCCCATGATTCAATTACATCCCTCTGAGTCATTCCCATGACATATGGGAATTATGGGAGTGACAGTTCAAGATGAGATTTGGGTGGAGACACAGTCAAACCATATCTGAAGTATGGGGTGTGTTGGAGAAGCAGATAGTGGTCTGTCTGGGAGGAATCCTGTAGTATGTATTGGGCAGGGTTTCTCATCTCCCAGCATTGTTGACATTTATGGACTGGATTTTGTCATGGGTTCCTGTCCTGTGCATTATGAGATGTTTAGCAGCATCTCCACCCTCTATCCACTGGATTCCAGCAGCACTGCCCTCTTCCCAGTGTGACACCCCAGAATGTCTCTAGACATTGTCACGTATCAAAATCATCCCTGGTCTAATGGGATTACAGCCACTGGTCCAGTAGGACCAGTGAGATACAGTTGAAAGAGGCCAGGCACAGTGTCAGGACTGTAATTCCAGTACTTGGGGAGGCTGAGGCAGGTGGATCACTTGAGGTCAGTAGTTCGAGACCAGTCTGGCCAACATGATGAAATCTCATCTCTACTAAAAATACAAAATATTAGCTGGGTGTGGTGGCAGGTCTGTAATCCTGGTTGCTCAGGAGGCTGAGGCAGGAGAGTTGTTTGAACCTGGGAGGTGGAGGTTGCATTGAGTCAAGATTGTGCCACTGCATTGCAGCCTGGGTGATAGATCAAGACTCCATTTCAAAAAAAAAAAAAAAAAAAATATATATATATATATATATATATATATATATATATGTATATACAGCTGGAAGGGCTTTGGGCCCCTTTTAGGCCCAAGTGTTAGAATGATGGGGATCCATTGATGTCTTAATCTTTTTCTTCACCACATATTGTCTGATGTCTGCCATGTGCCAGACTGAATAATACAAGCTGTTGATATGCTAGAAAGGGAATGCAAATGTGGGCCTACCCTGGAGCTTTCAGGGTGGTGGCTCTGTAGCCAGGAATTTGACGATCTGGTTAAGGGGTTAGGAAGAGACATAATGACAGCAGCTGCCTGAGATGGAGTGGAGTAGGGAGAGCTGCAGGAAGCCATCCTGGCAGCCCCCTTCTCCCAGGTGTGAATGATGAAAACCTGGCCCAAGAGTAGGTGGTGGCGAGAACCTGAAGATGGGACTGCTGCAGGGATGTTGTAGACGTGGAATGCTGCAGCTTGGCTGGCTACATGCACAGGATGACACCTGATCCTAAGATCTATAGATTGGTGGACTAGGGATGACAGTGGCAAAATTAGTGAGATCTAGGGAAGGAGCCAGTCTTAAAGAAAGATGTGTAGCCGTAGAGAAGCATGCGTTCATGTCCTTTGCAGGGACGTGGATGAAGCTGGAAGACATCCTTCTCAGCAAACTAACCCAGGAACACAAAACCAAACACTGCATGTTCTCACTCATAAGCAGGACTTGAGCAACGAGAACACAGGGACATAGAGAGGGGAACATTATACAACGGGGCCTGTTGGTGGGGTAGGGGGTAAGGGGAGGGAGCACATTAGGACAAATACCCAATACACATGGGGCTTAAAACTTAGATGATGGGTTGATAGGTGCAGCAGACCACCATGGCACACGTATACCTATGTAACAAACCTGCATGTTCTGCACCTGTATCCCAGAACTTAAAGAAAAATGGTAATAAAAAAAGAGGATGATGGATTTGCCTATGGAAGGTTGAATTTAAGATCCTGATGGGACAAGCAGGGAGCTTGGATGTACCCAGAAAGACAAACGTACTAATACTGTGTTGTACTCATTTTTAAGTTAATTCTGTGGCTTTCTAGTCAGATGGAGAAATGCAAACCCCTAATATTCCCAATTCACATATTATTTTGAATCAGATTAACAGGAGCCAAAACCTTGAATTCTTAAATATTCTTACTATATAATGATGGGATGTTGTCATGAGAGCCTTGCTAATCAGACTGCTTGATCTCTATCTTACCTTTTTAACTCTGTCTTCCAAAAGGATAGATTTAGAAAATGTGACTTTTCTTACAAAAATGAAGTTAAGAAAGCTATTTATCATTGTATTCTACCTTGAAATATTTGAAGTTGCATCCAAGTAACAGGTTTAGCACATCGTGAAGGCACAAATTATTATAATGTTGGGTATTAGGTATTACCTAACAAGGTGGCTGGCCCCCAGGCCTTTTCCTAGTTGGGTGATGAAAACAGTGATTCATTTGCTTTTGGGGGCACATTTATTATAGTTAGTCATTGATCAACTGGTAATAGCGAAAGAATCAATGAAATTTCTAATTCTTGGTATATATTAAAAAGTCAGCTTTCATTAGCATTGACAAATATGCCTAAAAGGGCTAATAAAAATGAGAGGAGAAATATATTAGCAGAGACAAATCCAAGAAAACATTTAGTTCGTGATTTTAAAAGTTCAGTGGTAAAGAGCAATTGCAATTTGAACATCTGTCTTTCAGGCAGGATATTGGCACATAAACAGAGGCTCATAGGAAAGATTGATGGTAAAGCATGTATGAATTCTTCCAGGTTTTTAAGATTCTTCTCTGTATGCAGTTGTTTTGCACCTGATAATGTTTAAAGAAAACCTACAGGCCTTTTCTGTCCTTAGTTTGATGTTACCCAAAATTCACTGTATATTTATCCCTCAGTTTTGAAATCTGGTTTCTGTGACAGTCTTTTATAATTTAGCTGAAATGTGGAAGTGACCAGATTTTGTTATTCTCTATACAACAGGTGAATCTGATTTCTAAGGTCAGTTTTTCATTTAAAAGTATTTCAAAGTTAATTTTACAGTTTGATTTAGAAAATTATGGTAACTCAGGGTGGATGTGGTGGCTCATGCCTGTAATCCCAGCCCCTTGGGAGGCCAAGGCGGGCTGATCACTTGATTTCGGGAGTTCTAGACTAGCCTGGCCAACATGGCAAAACCCATTCTCTACCACAAATACAAAAAAGTAACTGGGCATGGTGACACGCACCTGTGATCCCAGTTACTCGAGAGGCTGACATAGGAGGATCGCTTGAGCCCTGGAGGAGGGAGTTGCAGTGAACTAGGATCATACCACTGCACTCCAACCTGGGTGACAGAGTGAGACCCTGGTTAAAAAAAAAATTATGGTAACTCATTAACTTATTTTTCTGGCTTCTTGTTTGGATAGACCTAGGCATTGCTAGCTTGGATACTGTCTTCTCTATAGTAATTTTACCTCTCCTTAAATGTGGGAGAGTGATGTCTGTGGCAGAATTTGCAGAGCTGGGGGCCTGGGTTGCCTCTCAGTGTTTGTAGATCTCAGTCAATGTATTTTCCTTTGCTGGGTCTCCTCTTCCTTGCCTCTAAGCAAAATGGAAGGATTACCATAGATAAGGGCTTGTCACTGCAGATGCCAACGGCAGCCAGGTGGTAAATTGGGCTAGGTGGGGACTGTGGCAAATTTGAGAGCACCAGCCCCATGTAAAGGCACAACCACTGTGCAGACCCAGAAAGTCACCAGCACACTTCATTTGGGTCTGATGTGGCCAGAGTTTCCAAGAGAATCCAGAAAGCCAGGTAAATATATGAAACTCATGAATTAAAAATGTTGGCAACAAATTCAGAAGTGTATAAATGCTGCATGGGCCCAAAGCACACACCTGCTAGCCAGATCTCATCCACAGATGTCGAGTTTGTCATCTCTGGAAGAGATCATCCCTGAGCACTTACAGAAGACGAATGCCTGGGCCCCAGCCTGTGCCTCAATTCAAGCCTGTGCTGTTGGCAGGGACCCTGAACATCACGGCTGACCAGGAAAAAGCTCTGGGTCTGGCCATCATTGTCTTTGTGTACAGTCAGCCAGTTTATCAAGATGTTCCGTTTGAAGGAAACTTTTTGGAGACAAAAATGTGGGTATCAAGGTGGATAACTTGGGGGCAGCCCAGAGCATGTTCCGTCTTCTTCATGGCTCTCTCCACTCCAGGCCACCCAGCCCTGCCGCACTGAGGTTCTGAATAGCTCTTGGGTAGAAGTTGCTGGGTCTTTATTGTGTGATCTTGAACTTGAGTCCTGCCTAAGACCCACCTCCCTTTCCCGACACTATCCAGGCCTCAGCATCTCCCACTTGGGTTAATGAAAGGCTGGTTAAAGTAACTCTGAGAGTCCCTCTAGCACTGCCAATTTCTACTACATAGGTGGGAAAAATGGGCTTCTGTGATTTAAGCTTTCTAATCTCACCAAGATGAGCCTTATTCAGTGGCCTTATTCGGCGCAGTACTGGAAGGTCAGGTGCAGATGTGAAATTAACTGACATAAGTATGTGAGGCTAGCCCTCAGATTTATATTATCATCCATAGCAGACTCTCAGCGGAGCCTAGTGATCTCACCTCCAGACATTCATGCCCTGTGTAATCCCCTGCCCTTAAGGTGGTCTGGCCTAGTGATGTGATTGTAATGAGCAGAACACAGCAAAAGTGATGGGAGTTACTTCCATTGTGATGTTATATAAGATTGTACCTTCCATTTGCTAGCAGACCCTCTGCCTTGTCTGGTTCAATAAAGCAGGTTTTCATGTTGCAAGCTGCCATATTGGAGAGGCCCATATGGCAGGGAACTGAGGGCAGCCTCCAGCCAGCAGCCAGTGAGGAACTGAAGCCATCAGTCCTACAACCTACAAGGAGCTGAATCCTGCTAACCACTATGTAGGTGAGCTTGGAAACAGATCCTGCCCCATGTGAGCCTGTGAGAGACTTGGAGCAGAGGACCAGCTAAACCATGCCAGACTCCCACAGAGGCTATGAGATAATCAATGTGGGTTGTTTGAAGCTGATACATTTGTGGTAGTTTGTTATACAGCAGTAGACAGCTAAATTATCTTCTCTATGAATCTGTTAAAAAAATTAACATTGAAAAAGTTAAATTTGTTGGCCATGTGCGGTGGCTCACATCTGTAATCCCAGCACTTTGGGTGGCCAAGGTGGGTGGATCACAAGGTCAGGAGTTCAAGACCAGCCTGCCAACATAGTGAAACCTCATCTCTACTAAAAATAAAAAAATTAGCTGGGTGTGGTGGCACACGCCTGTAGTCCCAGCTGCTCAGGAGGCTGAGGCG